TTTGGGGCTGGGTGCTGCCTGTTATGTAGGGGAGCGTGGGGTGGATAGGGGGAAGGTAGAATGATTCTTGGGATGAAGGGGTGGTCTTATGAGGAAAGATTGGACAGATTGGGCCTGCATCCATTACAGTTTAGAATCATGAATAAAAATGATCTTATTGAAATATATAAGGTCCTGACTGGACTTGATAGGGTGGATGTGGAAAAAGGTTTTATCACTTTGGGAAGTCGAAAACTGGAGGGATACAGCAGTCTCCTATTTAAGAGAGAGATGAGGGTCTTTTTTCACTCAGAGGGTTGTTGGTCTGTGGAACACCCTTCCTTAGAGAGATAACAAGGTGTAGAACTGGATGCTGTAGAGCCTCTTCCTTAGAGAGCGATGGAGGTGAGTCATTGAATAATTTCAAAGCAGAGGTCGATAGATACTTGATCGACGAGTCAAAGGGCAGGGGGTAGATAGGAAAATAGAGGCCCCATTAGGGAAGGGGAAAGTTAACTGGATAATTTGCTCCAGGAGGCAGTCACACCCCTCAGATTAATTAGGTCATTCAAATTTGGCCTGTGAGCAGGGGCAGGAAAGAGTGACTGCAAAATGAGACAGGTCTGAGAAACCAGTTGGCAGCATTCATAGCCTTGGACCTTAAACTGTCCAACAATTACATTACGAGGTTCTTGCAAACTGTGTGGACAAGAATGGACACTAGGGGGAGGACTGAGCAAATGGACCATGGCATTTTGGTACATGAAGCTATCCAAGTGTGAGGAGAAAATAGGAACATAGTAGTGGTTGGGGGGGGGGGCAGTATAATTAGGGGGAGAGATAATGTTCTCAGCAGCCATGAGCGTGAAGCCCAAAGACTGTCTGTGTCTGTGTGCCTGGTGCCAGGACATCTCCTTGGAGCTGGAGAGGAACTTGGAATGGGAGGGTTGAATGGGCTGTCCAATCCACTAAGCATCTCCTGCATTTGATAAGATCATGGCTGATCTGACTGCAGTCTCTATTTTCCTTATTTCTTAAACCAATGCCTTTCCCTAATGCCAGAAACACAAAGTGCTCCAGGAGCTACTGAACCTGGAATGGGACCTCTCAGTGCTAAAGACCCAGAGCTTATTGCAGTTACCTTCTACCTCCCACAGTGTAACCACTGGAGAAGGACCTGGTGAAAACACCAGATTGGTATAAGACTACTTAGCTAACAACTTGTGGCTCTCATCAAAGTAATAATTAACAGTAGCAATGGTCAGTCATTCCAACTACAAAACCTTCTTGAAAGCTTTGTGCATAGAGCACTGTACAAGTAACTGGAGACCCTGCAATGTTAGTTGGCACAAATAATAACAGTCTTTAGCTAGATGCAATTTATTGCATGAAATGACTAGGGAAGATGTTTGACCTGATTGTTAAAGATGGAGAGGTGGGATTATTTAGCTGAATTTCTGCATGCTGTTTGAGTGTTCTGACTGCCAAAAGCTGTTGTTATCTTCCTGCTTCACTCTCATACTCAAAGTCCTACTTGTGTGTCCTCATTGTGAGCCAAAATTGGGCAGAAAATAGTAAGCTATCATTATGTGGGGGTCCATGCTACGTGAGCTGTCCTGTGGTATGCAATTAGATCTGTCCAGTCAGCAGGATCAGTGCTCAAGGACTTCAATTGTCTGCTTGATGACAGCTTTTGGTTAAGGCCTGGATTTGACTGCAGTGCAATGTGGCTTCAGTCATAGCATCCTTAGCGCTATCATTAGCCAAATATGCAGGGCACAGCTTCGTCTCCAACGAGCCAACCTCTCAGTGCTCTCACAGGGGATTAGGTTGGGGGTTACATTATGTGAGGGTGGGAGGGCTGGGAATGGAAGACTGCTGCAAAATTCAAGTATCAGGATAGCACAAGTAGAATGGAAGACCCTGCGACTCATGACAACACTGGAGTCGTATGAAGGAGGCGATGTGATTGCATTCAATGTGCAACCGAACATGAGTGCATCTTGTAATTCGAAGAAACCCCAGTATCCTATCTTGTTGCTTCTAGATACCCATGGGGCAAGTGATGAAAGTGCTTGTTCCAGCATTCATGAAATATTCTTCAGCCAGTTGGCCGATGTCATGGATTTCCTCTGTGGCAGCCCTGAAGTAATCACAGAGAAAGAAAAGAGGAATTGCAGTGACTCTGACTGTCACACAGAATGCTGTGTTAGCTGTGGCAGCAGCCAGTTATAGGAGTTGTTGCTGGAGTGGCCCAACTTTCTTCGACCATGTTTCTCAGAAAGTCCAGGGTCTGCGCACTCAGGGTGGGCGGTTAGGGCTGTCTTGTTGTTTATTTTTGCTGAGTTTACATCACTGCATCTTTCTCCTTCTTCTCTTGCCAGAGTGTAGCTGCTGGAGGATCTCAAACTGCTGAAGCTTCTTAAACGTTCCAGAGTATTCATCAGATACTACCAGCACTTTGAAATGCAACCCAAAACCTGAATCAAATACAAATAAAATGTCTCCGTAAAAAGTGGTATGTTATCTGAAATCAGCCAATTGTCACTGCAGCTGGAACTAGACGCCTTCTGACATGTGCCACCTGTGGGTTGAGAGTGGTACCACTGGCATTCAGTTCATGACTGTCAGCTTCAAGCACTCAGTCTGGAGTTGAGAGAAGCATCTTGATACGTTGTCTAAACCATGTATTGCAGCCTTAACCTGAGAAGAGAACTAGCAGGCTTATTAGGGTGAGACAGTAATGGGATCTGTGCTGAAAGGTTTTCAGTTTCTATTTACACAGTACCAGCCTGTGGGGTTAGATCTTGGACAACAGGGCAAGGCTGGATTGGCGTTGAGTCACAGATGACTCTCCCCTTGGAAAACCTTGGAAAAATTTGAGAACCAGCTGGAGACTGACCTGAACATGTCATCTTTTACTAGATGAAGAAAGTATGATGGTCTGAATATATATTGTGTGGACCAAAGGTGTCTTACAACAAGATCTTTGATTAGCAAAGGACAGAGAGTTTCATCACACTTTGGGTAGTCTGCATGCTGTTTGAAACAATGGCTGAGTCATCTCTTCCCAGACCTACTTCTCTTGAAGTGACTATGATGAAGGAGGAATGCACTGCTGAGTTTAAGTTATTTCCTAGGATAAGATGATGAAGGGAATTCTCAAAGTGAAGAAACATGGAACCACAAAACTGTGGGCTTTAACTCCTTGTGCATCAAAAGAATGTATTCCTGAGCAGCGTCACATCGATTCCTGCTCTGACAGAGATAGTCAAAGTAGCACAGAGGTCCCTCAGCTTCAGCAGCATTTCAGTCACTGTGGGATCTGAGTAGCACAAGCATTGAAGAGCATGGGGGTGCACTCATCCAGCTTTTGATAATGTACTTGGTCTAACTAGTTCCCAGTTAGTCAGCAGTCACTTCCGAGGATAGCAAAGATGCTTTGCTCTGCATCATCTTTGAACATGATTTTTTAAAAAATTTAATACATAGTAAGTGGCAGATAATGTCATCTTCAAATGTATAGCTCATGCTTTGTGCAAGAGAAAGAAAAGTGTTGTCAACAACGTTATAACTCTGTGTGTTTATACAAATGTTTCAGTCATTGAATCCTGGTGACCTTCTTCAACAGCTATCATTGCAAATCTCATTTCTAGTTCACACAATTGGCTCTTGCACTGCATCACATTGAGTATAGATGGTGCTGCAGTTCATCCTATATTAAAAATTCCTTTTGCACATAATAGCAGCTTTCAGTCAAGATTTAGCAACAGAACATTAGACGTTTGCCATATAAATAACTGCTTTTGGTGATTAAAGATGTCAGCAACTTTTGGCTATTGACAAGGAAGCTGCATGTAGAAGGTGGCCCTAATGGAAAAACAGCAGAATGACATTGCAGGACAATTGAATACATTATGCACACTGAATGCCTGCTGATGTATTTCTTAGATTGTAAGAAATTGTAAAAAAAAGAACAGTCAATTAGGAAGGTGGGGCATCCGTTTTGCAGGTTGTGTGGATTGTGGAGGGTGGGGGTATTCCTCATTACCAACCCCAAGATGGTAACCTCCCCTCTGTCCTCCTCTGTCCCCTGGCTTCTCTAACCTGACTCCCATGCCCCTTCCCCTATCTCACTGGTGTCTCCCAGCCATCCAAGCCCAAAATCTCTGGTCTGAAGTCCTAAAGTCATCCTCACTTCTTCACGGGCACTAGTTGTAGTCGCAGCAGTAATCTATATTACCTTCTGCTGCATCTGGGGATACAGAATAGGATTCTGTGCCTTGAGGGACCGAGGTCCAACTCTGTACTAATCCAGGCACCCACTCCTCCCACTGACAAAGTGCCAACTGACTTTTAGGTTAGGGTTTGTGGTGCGCAATCTGTCCCCCAATAGCCTATACTTTAAAAATGACTTTCTGAAATATAACTATACCAAAAAAGAACATTTGCACATGTTCACAAACTGAATCATTCCTTGTATGATTTATTGTGTGTTACAAGTTATTTTGTCCTCATTTATTATTTTGTCCTTATTTATTATTTTACACATAATCGCCACAGGGGATTGCTATAACTATTAGCTTGTGCCAACCTGGATTTGTGTTTGTGTCTGACTGGTTCCTTGTACAACTCTGTCAGATTTACTACGTCTCCACTTGAGGTCCCTGTCTCAGTTATCTTTCTAATCTAAACAAGAATGAACAAAAGTGTTGAATAGATGTGATTGAGTTCCAGGTGTGATTTCATTTAAGGATTAAGCCTTTCTTGAATCAGGAGATAACTTGCTGAAAAAAAAGCAGCCAGAAAACAACCAAGGCACTTAATGAAATCATACACTTTCCTGTGGCAAAAAGATGAATATGGAATTCTTTTGAATATATTTTCAGCCCTGCTATTCACAGCTGAGGAGGAATGAGTCATCCTGGAGAAATATTGGAATTTTCCTGATTACCCATCGTACCAGGTAAGTTACCACATTATTACAGGACAGAAAGGAAGAAGTCTAATAAATTACTCACTCTTCTCACATGTTGGGGGATCTCCACTCCATGACAAATCCCACTGACACATGAGGATGTCGGTCCCAATCAGCTCAAATCCTGGGTAGCACTGGTACGTCACCACAGTTCCGTGGATTAGTTCAGGGTGAGAAGTTGTTTTCCAACCATTCAGAATTTCTGGCACTTCCGGGCAGGTATCGTTTCTCAAAACCTCTGTAAGGGAAAAAAAATCACTGTGGTTACTGAGGAAATGCTAATCCACTGACCCAGAGGCAGTTTCAAGGTGGATAGATTCCAAAATAATGTCAGATGAAACGTTTATCTAACTGCATCCTTTTCTTTATCAAAATGACAACAGAATTTGGGCAGCACGGTGCCTCAGTGGTTAGCACTGCTGCCTCACGTGCCAGGGATCCAGGTTTGATTCCGGCCTTGGCCGACTATCTGTGTGGAGTTTGCACATTCTCCCCGTGTCTGCGTGGGTTTCCTCCGGGTGCTCTGGTTTCCACCCCACAGTCCAAAGATGTGCAGGGTAGGTGGATTGGCCATGCTAAATTGCCCACAGTGTTCAGGGATGTGTAGATTAGGTTGGTTATGAGGGATGGATCTGGATGGGATCCTCTGAGAGGCGGTGTGGACTTGTTGGGCCGAAGGGCCTGTTTCCACACTGTAGGGATTCTTAAATAAGAAATAATTTACCATAATCAACAAATGAATAAGGGATAGTCATTGCGTGTTGGAATGGCCAGTGCCTGTTTTGGAGGGAAAGTTACCACAAGGGGAACACTGAAAAGGCATAGTGCCCTCTACAGGGTATCAGGTACAAAACTGCCAAACCATCCTGTATTCCCCTAATCCACCAACTTGATGAATCATTACTGAACAGTGCAGATCTGAATCAGGAACTGTCATTAAAGTTGTAAACTGAATATCAAATCAGGTACAGAAAACAAAGAGAAGATAGAATGATTGGACAAGAAGAGAAAGATAATGAAAGGTAATAAAGCAAAGGAAAGATGTAATTTAGTTTTAAAAAGATCTCCAACAATTATTAAAATGTGAATGTAGGAGACTCCAGATTTGTAAATAAAAACAAAGATCGCTAAAAGACTCAGCAGGTCTGGTAGCATCTGTGGAGAGAAATCAGAGTTAATATTTTGGGTTCAGTGACTCTTTGTGTACTGAGGAATGGTCCCTGAACTCAAAACACTAATTCTGATGCTAATTATAATTGCTGAGCCTTTCCAGCAACTTCTGTTTTTGTTTCTGATTTCTAGCATCTGCAGACCTTTCGATTTTTAGTTCACATTTGTAATAGTTAATTTTCAGCATCAGAGAGGGACTTTGGCTGCAAATGAGATTTCTAAAGCTACTAAGAAGATTGAATTTTCAGACTGGAATGTACAAACACAAAATATCTGTGGAGATTTTAGCCTGTCTGCACATTAAATAGGAACTTTAAAAGGGGAGCCTGATGGTGAGTTGCCAATTTTGAGCAGTTTATGGAGGAGGAACATTTTTCAGACAGCAATTTCCAGATTTTTGCATTTAACAATCCATCAGTATTCAGTTAAAGTTCCTGTTTGATCTACACGTTAATAATGGCGAGTGCTAGAATCCTTGTTATTTTCACAGTAAAGTCAGGGTCATTGTGTCATATTTTTCACAGGTAATTAAAGTAAGAAAATCACAAACAAGATACAAAACACTGGGCAAGTATACTTACATCACAGGGAAGGCATTTATTGAAGCAAATTTAGCTTTATTTTTATATATTCTAGCATCCATCCTTGTTCTTAACTCAATGAGTCACATCTGTCCTTTTGATTTTGATCCACTGTCTCATTATAAATTGTAAGAAAATAACAGACAAGAGACTTAAACAGAGAGGAAATTAATCAATGCTTCTTACTTTATTGTGGATTCAATTAAATTTCTTACCTGACGTGCCCAACACACCCATAACATCATGAAGAATTTTAATTTAACAAACATAAAATTTGTACTTTTATGGATGGGCAATATTGGTGCGTAATCTTGATGGGCAATGCCACAGTTTTCTTACACCTAAAGGAAGTTTTACTAATATATTATTATCTTTATTTTTGAAACAACTCACAAGCCATTGTTTCTCTTTCAAATTCACCACTGTAGTTCAATCTCCATTTCTTAGATCAAGGCACTTTGAGTGGAATTTTCCAAACCAGCCCGATGTTTTAAGAAAGATGAGCGGGGAACTTAATAGGGCAGGAGGCAAAATGTCCTTTTCCTATCGACAGATTAAATCATTGCTATTAAGTTCTCAGAACATTTCAGGTGGGTCAGGGTTTCGGATCTTAACTTGTTTTGTGCAGGTAGCACTCTGTTTACGCAGCTCCTTCAGAATCAAGTCGATTCTTTGTGCAAACATTTAGTGTTAGGGGTGCAGCTTGACTGGGCAAGACATCCACACAGCAAAGGTGACAGGGCCAGGCATGCAGGGCTCAACTCAACAGGGGGCTCAACTCAAAAAGCTATCATCTGTGCTTGTGTTCTTTGCCTATCAGTTGTGTATATTCTACCAACTGGGATGAAAAGTGCTGAATAGTACCTGGGTTGCTGGGTGTTTTACCTCTTTTTATGCTTTAAATATGAACCCTCACAGATAGATACATAGAAAATAGGAGAAAGGGTAGGTCATTTGGCCCATCAAATGCACTCTGCCATTTAATATGATTATGGTTGATTCTCGATTTCAATGCCATATTCCCACACTCTTTCAAACCATTTGATGGCTTAGCATCTAGAAATCTATTTCTTTCTTAAATATGTTCAGTAGCTTGGCCTCTATCACCATATAATAGAATCTCTACAGTGTTTAAACAGGCTGCTTGGCCCATACCAACCCTCTGAAGAGCATCCCACTGAAACCCACTGCCCCCCACCCTATCCCTTTAACCCTGCCTTTCCCATGACTCAGCCGCCTAGCCTGCATCTCCCTGGATACTATGAGCAATTTGGCATGGCCAATCCACCTAACCTGCACATCTTTGGACTGTGGGAAGAAACTGGAGCACCTGGAGGAAACCCACGCAGAAATGAGGAAAACGTGCAAAATTCACACAGACAGTCATCCAAGGCTGCAATCAAATCTGGGTTCCTGGCTATGTGAGACAGCAGTGCTAACCACTGAGTTACCATGCCACCCATATGTGGTACAGGAGTCCACTTACCTGGGCTTTGAGTGAATATATTTCTCATTTGAGACCCAAATAGTCTACCCTCTATCCTGAGACTGTCAGCCCTTGTTCTAAACCTCCAGCCAGTGGAATATCATCCCTACATCCAGCCTGTCTAGCCCTGTCATAATTTTATATTTTAAGAGAATCCCTCCCACTCTCCTAAAAGCCAATAAATAAATGGAAACACAGACAGTAGGTAAAGGAGTAGGCCATTCAATATGATCATGGATGATCCTCCATCTCAGTGTCATATTCCTGTTTTCACCCTATATTTCTTTTTACCTTTAACATCTGAAAATCTATCAATTTCTATCTTGAATACACTCAGTGACTCAGCGTCCACAACCTTCTGTGGTAGTCAATCTCACAGGGTGACCACCCTCTGAATGAGGAAATATTGTTTCATCTAGCTGTATCCTGATATTGTGTCCCCTAATTCTAGACTTCCTTGCCAGGGAACTTCCCTCTTGCTTCTAGTATATCCAGTCCTGTTAACATTTTAGATGTTTCAAATAGATCCCCTTTCATCCTTCTAGACTCTAGTGAATACAGTTCAAATTCAAACAAAGAACTGCAGATCCTAGAGATCTGAAACAAAAGCAGAATTTTTTGGAGAAACTCAACAGGTCTGACAGCATCTGTGGAGAGAAAGCTCAGTTAATGTTTGGAGTCCGGTGACTGTTCATCAGAACTGAACCATTTGAGCCAATTTCTACTCAGGCAACAGTCCTGCCATCAGCCAAATAAACCTTCACTTAAACTGTCTATACAGCAAGTACATCCTTTCTTAGATAGGGAGATAAAACTGCACATAATAATCCTGCGTTGTCTCTCCAAGGCCCTGTATAACTGCAGTAGGATATCCCTCCTTACGAACTCAAATCATCTTGTAACGAAGACCCAGTCTACCCAATCTCGCTTTCCATCCCAGGAATCAGCCTGGTGAACCTTTCCTGAACTCTCTCACTGGGAAGTATATATTTTCTAAGGTAAATGGACGAAAACTGCATACAATTCAGGTGAGGTCCCTTGCTCCCTTACATCTACAGCAAGTCACTGTTGTTTCTGCCAAGTGGCTGGCCGTACCACTGTGATGCCAGTTGTGCTAGACTGGTAATCGCAGTGATGTAACAGACAATGACTGCAGATGTGGCATCTGTCAGTGATGCCTGGCACCCAACCACCCCTGTCACAGTCCTCTGCAGTGGCAACTTTACGACGTTAACTCACATTCCAAGGGACATGAAGCGATGTATAGACAGTGGTACACACCCTAGCACATTCTTGTAGTACTGGAGCAAGACTCCTTTGAGCGGCCCACTAATGCTGCCCACTGAAGCCATCACTGTCTAGGGTGCCTTTGTCAGCCAGTTTGGCCTCTTGCAGTCATCAATAGGGAAAAGAATTTTCCTTCTTTCCTGGACGGCCTTTAAGAGACACTGCAGGGATTGCTAAAACGTGGCAACATTTTTTTCCTGGTCATTGACATCTCCAAAAATAGATGAGGGTGATGAACAAGGACTGACAGATGCTCCTGGGTTGCAGAGATGGAAGTGCTGTCTGGGTGCCTTTTAAATATGGAGCCCAGATTTTTGAGACTGGAAGATCCCAAGATGCCTCAGAACTTATTGTTCGTAAAATTTGTGTTTTTAACCCGGCTTGGAATATGAAATGAGCTTGGATGGACATTATCATTCCAGAAAACCTGCCCTACCCTCAAGATGATTTCCCTCCTGGGTTTCAGGTCTGCTATAACATTTAGTGTCAGAAGAGAAAATTTGGTTTGAGTTACATTGCTTCTGATATAATCAGAGCTTAGGGCACTGAGAAGCTGTTTAGTAACTCCTTGCTCATCCCTATCACACCAGAATTGAATTAGGGATATTATAAAGTATGTGTGATATTCAAATGTAAATGATGGGAATCCATCATACAATGCATTTCCCAATATTTCTGTTGGATACCGAGAGGAACACTGATGTTCAAATAAAG